ACTGAGCCCAGGCGGGTCTCAAACTCGCGACAATTCTCCTGCCTCAGCCTCCCGAGTGCTGGGATTACAGGCGTGCACCACCACGCCTGGCCTGCCTAAACAATTTTAAACAATATAAAAATATAAAAAATGTCAATTCAAATATATTAAAAGAATATTAAATGGAAATAAAATACTGTACAGTATGCATTTCCTCAGCGGACGAATGCCGTACTGTACACAGTGGAGATTCAGTGCCCGCTACCTGGCCTGAGCCGGCAGAGCCACCAGGCCGCCCGCGCAGAACGCACCGCGCTGGTGCTGCTCACAGGTGAGGAGGGCGCGGGCTGCCCCGGCCGCCTGGGCAGGGCGAGCAGTGCGGGCCGGGCGCGGGATTCGCTGATCTGCCGCTGCGGCTCGGCTGGGTCCCGCACGCCCCGCTCCCTGGCCCGCTTGCACCCTCCATCCGCACCTGCCCGCCCTCCCCTCCTGTCCTCAGAGCTAAGATACCGAGGCTTTGAGAAGAAGGGTCTCCCGGGGAAGGCGCGCAGGAGTGTGGGAAGGGTTTATAGGAGTGTGGGAAGGGTTTATAAAGCCTTACAATATATATAAATAATAAAATAAATGTAATGCGGCCACTTCGCAGATTTTCACCTATCGCAGGGGTCTGTGGAACGCAACTCCTGTGATAGGTGAGGGATCACTGTACAAGTATAGTTGCTTAGCTAACACTGATCCCTAGGAGCGGGGCATGTAGCAAGGGCCTGGGGCTGGCATCATTCACCTTGGCTTACCTGTGGCTTCTAAACCGGGAACATTTTGGGAATGGGGGGTGCCGGTGTTCTGGTCACCCATCCGGGTGTCTGATGCATATCTGGACTTAGTGGACTGAAAGGTACCAATGACAGTACAATCTCCAGTTTCCATTTATCCCTTACAGAAGTTTGCATGTCTGGCCATTGTGGCTTTATCTTGAGGCCCCTCATTTTCGTTGTTTGTTTGTTTGTTTTGTCTTTTTGAGACAGGGTCTCGCTGTGCAGTTCAGGTTAGCCTTGAGCTCACTTTTTTAGCACAGGCTGGTCTCAGACTCACAGTGATCCTCCTGCCGCAGCCTCCCAAGTGC